TGAATTGTGCATATCAGCTACTGATTCAGGGACTGATACATGATGCACGGAGGACCCTAAATTAGGGGCCCGATAGTGCATGTGTTGCATCAACATTGGAGGAGATGGAATGGAATATGCAAGGCAAAGGTATAATCTATAGGGCATTTCATTTCACCGGTCATAGGTGTGTAGAGAAGTTTATGACCGGGTTTAGGATAGATGGCCGTACTATTAAGAGGGGCAAACTTGTTTACATTTTGGCCATCTAGTGCCACTCGAGTGATCTAACTTTGCATCGTTGCTAGGATCGAGTGGCGTGGTGAATTGAGTGACTAATCCTTTGAAAAATATTTGTGAAATACTAACACACTTGCACATGGTGTTGTACACTTGGTGGTGTTGGCACATTTGCAAAGGAGAAGGAGAAGTCATTGGAGTCGATGTGGATCCTTGGTGAAGAAAAGGAGGCGACAAGAATGTCACTGGGGTGACCAGACACTATCCTTGGGAGGACCGAATGCGTCCGGTGCTACACCCTAGGCCTCGGCCTGCCTTGATGCATGGTAGGACCGGACTTTGCTCAGCGCAACGACCGGATGCTGGCTGGCAAGTCCAGTCTTAGTGAGCATAAAGCGCGACGTGGTGTGGAGTGATCAGACGCTGGGCAGGGGGGATCAGACACGCCCCTACCACTGTTCACAGGATGGCACAGAGCACGCAGGGCGAGCGAGCGTAGTGGCATGTCCGGTCATGGATTATCGGACGCGCCCGATCGCGTTTTGGCGTCTCTAGATCCTTTCTGGATCACACTAGACTCTAGCTTGTGGTGAGTCCGGTCAGGGAACCATCGGGTCCGATCAGGTGGTGACGAGCGCGTGCACGAAGGAGCTGTTGGGTGGCAACGGTCGATTCAAACGGCTAGTGCCACATGGCCGAGTTGGAGCAACCAGACCTACTGACTGGATGCATCCGGTCAGTGCTGCAGAGTCTGGTTAGTACGAAAAGTACCCAGTGAAGGGGTACAATGGCTCTATTTTCGTGGGGGCTATAAAACCAAGCATTGGATGGCCTTGGGCTGGTTGCTGAGCACCCTTAAGCCTTGATGGCTTGTGTAGGTGTGCTTGGGAGCCCTCTAACTCGCATACGCTTGATAGTGATCATCCGATTGAGTGTGAGTGCGATTCTAGTGCGATTGCATTGTGAGGTTGCATCGAGTGGCACGAGGTGTTTGAGTTGCAAGCCTGTGGTGCTTGTTACTCTTGGAGGTTGCCACCTCCTAGATGGCTTGGTGGCGTGGGTTCTGTCGAAGCACACAAGAAGATTGTGCGGTGCTCTGAAGAAGGATTTGTGAGGGGTGTTGTGCTCATGGGAGCCGCGAAGAGCAAATCTAGTTGAGCATGTCATTGAGCTACCCTCACTTGGTCCGTGGGGTTCTTGTAGTGCCCAACGTGTGGGCTTGGTGTGCTTCCAATTAGCCACCGAACCACCAAGTGAACGATCGACACAACAGGGATTAGCGTGTTGGCAAGCACGTGAACCTCGGGATAAAAATCATCGTGTCATCCTTGTCTTCCCATTGGTTTGCATCCCCTTTACACAAGCTTGTATTTACTTTCATATACATTGTGCTTGTGTAGTCGCTCTTGTAATTAGTTATCTTGTGTAGCTTGCTAGTTACCTTCTTGCTTGTGTAGCATAGAAGTAGCTCCATTGCGTAACTAATTTGGCTTGAGTAGCCTTGTTAGTTACATTGCTTAGTTTGTGTAGCTAAGTAATTTGCGCTCTCTAATTCGACTTGTGTAGCCTTGTTATTGAGCATTGCTAGTGAGCTTAGGTGGCTTTGTGCTTTTACTTACTAGCATGAGTAGGAGCTCCCCTGTTGCTTGAAGTACTAGTGGCATAGGTTTGTTAGCATGAGTAGGAGCTCCCCCTTGCTCCTAGAATTTGTTAGGTGAGTTCTAGCTAGCCCGTCACCTTTGTTGCCTAATTAGGATCTTTATAAGGTGCTTGTGAACGTAGATAGAGGGGTGTAGTCTTATCTAGACCAATAGTTTTAATTCGTATTTGTTTTGGTTAGTCGACGCGATTAATTTTAGAAAGGACTATTCACCCCCCTCTAGTTCGCCATTTTGTTCCTACAGCTCTCCCCAACAGTAGCCCCTCAGCTATTACGTTATGAAAGGTACAACATGACCTAATAGATGCTCATACTAGACGAGGCATGGAGAAAAGAGTACACACATGACTCTAGTCTATACAAGTGCTAACTCAGAAAGCTACTAACTCTAAGTGCCTCAATGGCGATCTCCCCGATATCTTAATATTTGGCCTTTGGCTTCCTCGGTCGCTTCTATGAAATGGATTGTTAGCTTCGCTCGACGTGCAGGTCTTTACCTCTGGGACCTTCTTAGTGTGCAGATCTTTGCCTCTAGGACCTTCTCGTTGCATAGATCTTCATCTCTGGGACCTTCATGGTGTGTAGATCTTTGGAAGTCATCGATGAGCCCCTCGAGCTAAAGTTGTCGAGGAAGGTGAAGTAGTCCTCGATGCCAAACAAGTTGATGTAGCTCCTCAAACTTGGTGATGAAGGCTAGTTATCATAAATGTTGATGCCAAAGGTATTGACAAAGGCTGTTGAGCCGTTGTACTGCCAAAGATGATAGGGAAGCTCCTCCTGCGGAAGTGTGGGTGGAGACGAGTCGTCATAGTCACCAAAGATGTTAGCGAAGCCCCTCATGCCAAAGTGTTGGCATAGGCGAGTCGTTGTGGACACTGTCAGATGTTGGTGAAGGCCCTCGTGCTAAAGGTGTTGACGAAGGCGATGTTGGTGTAGATGCCGAAGATGTTAGCAAAACCCCTCGTGCTGAAGTTTTGGCGGAGGCAAGTTGTTGTAGCCTCCGAAGATATCGACGAAAATATGTTGTCAGTGTTGACGTCGGAGATGTCAGAGAAGCCCCTCTAGTTGTTGGTGTCAAAGGTTGTTTGTCATTCATTACAGTCACCGAAGATGATGGTGAGGCCCATCGCGTCGAAGTGTTGGCGTGGGTGAGTCATTGTAGTTGCGGAAGTGTTGGCGAAGCCCTTCCTGCTAAAGTATTTGCCAGGAGCGATGTAGGGGGAGTCCATGAGGTATATGGTTCAAGTCTTCCCCTAGTAGAGGCCCAACTAATAGCTAGAGTAGTGTCATTTGAAATCCAACCCCACCAAAATGTCACTTGTAAATAACCATTGCCTATATAAGTGTCCAAGGGCATGAGGACAAGGGACCTCACCTCCCACTCATTTCTACTTGTTCAAAACCCTAGTGTGTCCCCTCTCCCTCTCTCTCTCTTGTTTAGTTCCAACCTAATAGATTTGGAAACATATTCCCCTAGATATTCTGCATGTATTTAAGTATTTGTGTTCATAATTTTTTTGTTTAGTTAAATGTTTCTATGCATAATTCATTAATAATTTTCATGCTTTCTATAAAACCATAAAATGAATAGCTTCCGCTATAGCCCGCTATAGCTTTTGGAGAAGGTCGCCGCTAAATATCATAGCCCGCTATTTAAAACATTGGCCAGAACGCGAAGTGGCGCTGGCGCGGCGCGTCGAGATCCGGCTGGTAGGTGACGATGCCCGCGGCAACGCATTCCAGGTGATGAGGCGGGAACGAGAGGGTGGCGGCGAGGACGACGATGTTGTGGATTTCGCCACCGGCGTCATCCGCGAGCACGTCGGGTAGCTCGTGGGACTCTTCGGTGGATGTTGAGCAGCCGGTGCCCGTGTGTCTGGCCGTAGGCAAGGAAGAGCCGGGCGCCGTCATATTAGCCGAAGTGGCGGAGCGCGGGGAACATGTTGTGGTCGCGGTAGCCGCTGAGGTAGTAGTAGACGCCAGTCGCGTCGGCGGGCGTGAGGAGCAGCCACGAGAACCGAGGCGGCGGAAGCAGGGCCTGCATGACCGCTGCAAGCCACACCTCGCAGACCGCGGCCATGCATGCGCGGTCGATTACGCATGGAGGCGGTTCACGATCTAGGTCACCATGGCCCCGTTCGCTTATCTTATAATCCGTACTTTTTAGCTTGTTTTTTCAGCCGGAACAGTATTTTTATCTCACAACAAATTCGCCGGAACAGTATTTTGGCTTGTTTTTTCAGCGAAACGAACGGGGCCCATGTCGATGTGGAGGTTCGCCCACTGCCGAGGCATAGTCATGGAGGCGGAAAGGTGGCGCGGCGAGGGATTGGGAGTTGGGAGTTGGGGGCTTGGGCTCGGTGTGGTGGATGGCGGTTGGCGGAAGGCCAAAGAGAAGACGCCAAGAACAAGAACTCCATAATGGAAGCGCTGCGGTGCGGGGGACCCTTTTTGTTCCGAAAGAAGCTGGGGCAGAGCGCCCAGGAGAGCCGTTGCAAGACGTAGGGGAAGCTCCGTTTCGGCAAATGGATCGCGCTGGGAGTCTTTTGAGCTATTTATTTATTTGGGTCGATTGGGATGCGACAAGCCCAAGTACATCTGAACTGGTTCATTAAGAGAAACCCGGATACGGCCCAGGTAAAAGTTTGGCTCTGGGAAGACAGATCCAATCTTACAGCCTTTTTCCAGAGTTCGCTCCGCCTGGGCAAAGGCAACAGCTCAAGAGCGTCAAACTCGCCTGCTCGAACGGTACGGTCGAACTCTCTCCACGATTTTAGCACTTCACAATTACGAACACCGCCGTAAGCCAGCTCTCTAGCGCTAATCGATGCTTGAGCTGTAAGTTTCTGGAACGTACTCATGCCCGCCTCTGCCATCCGGAAAACACGACACGACTCCAGAGCCGACTACGGACTACACGTCCCCCCTCGCCGCTGGGACACGTCCCCACTTTATTTAAGGCTCTCACTTGACGCCATCCGCTTCCGTCCTCAGACACGAGCTCGAGGTATCTAGCTAGAACACTCGATCGGCAAAAAGAAACAACGCACACGAATCAAGCGGGGCATCGCAGTCGCAGGAGGCGGCAGGAGCAGCAGGAGTATCATATCGCGCGGTCACCATGGCGCAGGAGGGGGGCCTGAGGCTGGTGTCGCACCCGATCGCGGCGCACGGAGGGCGGCTGACGCGGCAGTACTCGGCGGAGGGGCAGGGCGCGAAGAAGAACATGTCGCCGCCGCTGGAGTGGTACGGTGTGCCCGAGGGCACGCGGTCGCTGGCGCTGCTGGTGCAGGACATCGACGCCGACCCCGTCCTGCCGTGGACGCACTGGGTGGTGGCCAACATCCCGCCCACCGCCAAGGGCCTCCCCGAGGGGTTCTCCGGCCGGGAGAGGGGCGCCGCCGCCCCACCGGGGCGCGACTACGGCGGCTTGCAGGAGGGCATCAACGACTGGAAGCAGCCCGGGTGGCGCGGCCCCGTGCCGCCCTCCCATGGCCACCGCATCCAGTTCAAGCTCTACGCGCTCGACGACGAGTTGCACCTCGGCAACAAGGTACGTTCGTTCGCGCACGCATGCGTGTACGAATGTTTGATGCTAAAATTTTGATGGGAGCGTGCTAAGTATATATGCTTCTTGATTTGTGTGTGATCGAATTGCAGGTGACCAGGGATAAGCTCTTGGAGGCCATCCAGGGGCACGTGCTGGAAGAAGCCGAGATGGTCGCCGTGTTCCAAGGAGTCGTCTCCAACTAACAACACCATGGTTCCTCACATCTCTGTTGGTGTGCTTTGTATTTGTGTGGCAACCTTGTAGTAATTTTGATCGAATAAAAGGGAACTTTACATGTGCTTATTGCGGCCCGAGTCACGTGGGTTCTTTGCGTTTTTACCCACTCACCCTCCATGATTCATGAACCACGGCGATCCAAGGAACACGTCCCGGCCGTCAGCCGTCACATTGACACGATCACACGATACTGCGAAGGTTGGCTGCGGGCCCGCGGTGATGGCAAGTTGGATCGTGTTATGGCCCATTTACGGTCTGGTATCGATACGCTGGTAATCAGCAACTGCACGCTCTGGGCCTGTGGCCCAAATATGATACATGGATCTGCGAAACCTTTCTTAGTTTTTGCTAATATAAAAAGCCTAAAGAAACATTGCTCATTTCTCGCGAAAAAAAAAATGTCTGCTAAAACGCCGTGTCCTCCCGCACAGACCGGTCGCGCGGCTACAGCTGAATGGTCACGCCCCTGGCTCCCATGCCTGACATCCGCTGGTCCGCTGACCCTTCCCTATCCATCATGCCACCACCGCCGACCCTCGCCGACAAGTCGTGCCTGGTGGCGTCGAACTTCTCGCCGTCGCCCCAGAGCGCGTAGGCCTCCTCCCCGTGCGCGGCGTCGTCGCCGATCATGAGCTGGTCGTCGGGCATCCGCAGCGGCACCACCAGGCCGATGGCGAGCAGGATGAGCGACGTGACCGCGACGTTCCACGCCACCACGAAGGCGGCCCCCGCCAGCTGCTTCCCGACCTGCCGGGCCCCGCCGCCGTAGAACGCGCCGCGGAGGCCCGGTACCGGGGACTCGATCTCCAGCAGCTCCGGCGTGGCCAGCAGCCCCGTAAGGACGCCGCCCAGCAGGCCCGCCACGGCGTGCGTGTGGAAGACGGCCAGCGTGTCGTCCACCCTCATCAGCAGCGCCGACTTCTTGTGCAGGATCATCATGGTGAACCACGGCACGCTCCCCGCGAACACGCCCATGATCACCGCCGCCCACGTCTGCACCAGCCCTGCACACACATGCATGCACACGGAAATTTACAGATTGCACAAAACAATTTCCCGGGCGCCTAATCATGTCGCTCCTAATAAAGCAGGAACACGGCGGCTAGTGAAGCGCGGCGCCGAGAACGTGGGTGCTCTACAGATTTCGCTTTCGTTCGAGCCTGACATGCCCGCGATTGGCTGCCGGTTGCCCGTTTTTCCACCGCCCTCTTTTGACTCGGCATTAGTTTTTGTGATCCGTTCTGATCGCTTGACGTTGAAATGAAACTTGATTTAGGCATAAATGCATAATACAGCCAAACGCCAGATGCTCCGACGACCCAAACTTGATTTGGGCATAAATGCATAAAGCCCAGTCAGCATAATGTCGTCTCAGCGCACGCGACGCGACCCGTGAAACAGAAGTTTCTGGGACGTACGGTACGGAGAAGGAAATGCCGTACGGTAGGATTATAGGATGATAGTAGGGGGCACGGGCAATGGTTTACCTGCTCCTGGGGTGATGCAGACGAGCCCCGTCATCATGCCCTGCACGGCGCCGATCACGGACGGCTTCTTGAAGAAGATGACGTCGAGGCAGGTCCAGGTGAGGAGGCTGGTGGCGGCGGAGACGTTGGTGTTGAGCACGGCCACGGACGCCGCGATGTTGGCGGCGTAGGGCGCGCCGCCGTTGAACCCGGCCCAGCCCATCCACAGCAGCCCGCCGCCCGCGATCATCAGCAAGATGTTGTTCGGGGAGAAGCGCTCCCGGTCGCTCTTCAGCCTCGGGCCCACCTGTCGGCAACACAAAACCAAAACCAACGGCCATCAGTCCGGTCGCTCTTCCTTGCCGTTGCGCTCTTGCCATTGCAAGATGACACGACAATTGAGACTTGAGACCCCAAGCGTCAACATCAGCATGTTGCCGGTCCGCGCCGTCCGTCGGCCTCGGCGGCTACACCCACCGCCAAGCAGACGACGGAGAGGCTATCCTATCCTATCCAATCCAATCCAATTTGTTCACATGTTCCTTGGGGTTAAAAGTTCTTGGCCTTTCCGGTGCGCAGCCATCAGCAACATGCATGCTAGTCTCATGTGGTGCAGGGGAAAAAAAATGTCTGCAACCGGACGCATTAATTTCTTCCAAGATGACTTTGAATCTGTGATGCAGTGCGTGCATTCCCACGGACACAGTGGCGTCTCCGCGAGGAATCCACATTGCCTGGCCTGCTACGTCAAATGAATAGAGTACTGTCTATACAGTCCACACCTACCTAACACGTTACCCAAACCCGAGCCGCCGGAACAGTGACCTGACTCGCCGCAGGCGGGCCGGAACAGAGTGACGTCACCATTCCGGTGACGATGTCACGTGGGATGGGAATTGGGATCGATCACAACACAACGGAAATCAGAGGCGCACGCACATACGTACCCAGTAGGCGGCGGTGAAGCCGGCGACGCCGGAGGAGAGGTGGATGACGTATCCGCCGGAGTAGTCGATGACGCCCCAGTGGTAGAGGAATCCGCCGCCCCAGAGGCTGAAGGCGCCGACGGTGTAGGAGAAGAGGAGCCAGAGCGGGGTGAAGGCCATCCAGGCCTTGATGTTCATGCGGCCCAGCACGGAGCCCGCCAGGAGCACCAGCGTGATGGCGGCGAACTCGAACTGGAACAGCACCAGCGTGGCCTCCGGGTAGAGGGGCTCGGTGCGGGGCGTGCCCCCGTGCGCGGTGGCCGAGAGCGAGGCCCGGCCGACGAGGTAGCTCTGGGAGAGCGCCACCCCGGCCTTGCCCCAGAACGGGAGCAGCCGCTCCCCGAACGCCATGCGGAACCCCACCAGCACCCACACCAGCAGCGACGACGCGTAGGCGTAGAGCGCCATGAAGGCCGAGTTCACGGCCCACTTCTTCTTCACGATGCTGCCGTACAGCACCACCAGACCTGGCATGGACTGGATGCCCACCAGCGTCGCCGCCGTCAGCTGCCACGCGTTGTCGCCCTTGTTCAGCCAGTCCGGCACCGCCGGGAGATGCGCCGCGTACGCGCCGCCCGACGCCGCCATCTCGCTCGCTCCGTGCAGGGCGGGACGGGACGGAGGAGACGCGAGCTCGGTTCGGTGGTGGCTAGCTGCTCTGCTATGCTAGTGCGCGCGCGCGCGCGTTTAATACGATGCGGCTACCGGCTAGTAGGACTTTATATGGGTGATTAACTGGTTCGTGGCTTCATGAACTGGCGCTTGATCTGCGATAAATTATGCAGGTTAACCAAGTGGATCATAATTGGACGGCGGGGAGTTCGTGACAGGCATGAAGCGAGCGACCAATTGGATTGCGAGGCGAAGAGAGACGACCCAGACAGGAAGGTCAACCCGGCAGCCACGAATGGCACGCGCGGTATGCGGCGTGTTGCGTACAGCGCTTTTCCATTCTTTCCCTTCTCCCGCTAGAGACACGCCTCCAGACTGTTCTGAAGATGACAAGAACATAGTTGTTCCATTCCACATCACGACTTGAATTGTTTTGGTATATGGGATTTCTTTGTCATTTCTGTGCGTGTGTGTTTGATCCAGCTACTAAAATTTAGGAGATGTGTCGAAAGAATGTTGCATGGGATGTTCGGATACTAATAAAAAAACAAATTACATAATCCGTCAGTACTCCACGAGACGAAATTTTTAAGCCTAATTAATCCATCATTAGCACATGTTTGCAGTAGCAAATCGTTATCAAATCATGAACTAATTAGGCTTAAAAGATTTGTCTCGCAAATTATTCGCAAACTATGTAATTAGTTTCGTAATTAGTTTATATTTAATACTCTATGCAACATTCGATGGGACAGCAACTAAAATTTAGGAGGGGCAACTAAACACCCCCTTAGTTGAGGAGATTCAAGTCGACGAAAGAAACCTAAAACAGAAGGCACGTGGAGCATGGAAGGTAATGAAATGGGCTCATGGTCATGCGGCTGATGGAGGCCCCCTTCGGTTGGCTAGAAAAACAGCTGATGTTTATGTTGATTTGTTGTGAGAGAAAAACGCTGTTAATATGCACCATAAGTGTAGATCAACCGCACCTTCTCGGAATCTGCTGCTTCCTTGTGTATGCTTGTCGAGTCGCTGTTCACATACACAACGTCCAGACTATGGCCCCGTTCCGTTGACCCACACTTCTAGAATTGGGCAATGAATTAGTGTACTGAATGCTAAAGCCGAAAAGCCTACGCAGTTTCACGGAAATAGATTACACATGGCCGGGTTCATGTCAGTCAACTGACTAACTGCATTCTTATGGTCTTGTGGGCATGCAAGTCAAGATGGCCTAGTGAACTGAGTATAAGATTTTGTTGCGCTCGTATGAACTCAAGACATCCTCGACTCCATCCGTATCTGTTGGCAGCTCTGCCTCTGCTCGCCGTGTTGATCGCAAGGTCAGCGGCCTGCTTGAACCGGCTACAGACTGGATGGTGGATGCCCTCACAGTGCGACCATTTTTTTTATCGTGTCCAGACTCCACACCCCACGAGATGAGGAACGGAAATGTTGTCGGTAGCACGTCCATTTCGTTCGGACGCATCTGGCCCTCGACGCCCACGGAAACAGACTAACAGACAACGCTATCATCTGCATAGAAATAAAAATAAAAAATCGTCGCTCTCACCTTCCTCTTGAATTGTCGCTGTGCCCGTATCCATACTCGAACCACTCTCCACGCCTGCATCGCCACGGCGTGCTCCACCGCGACCGCACCGCCGCGCCCGCAACGCAGCGGTATGTTGCACCGCACCCAAGCGCCGCCTCCTGCCTTCCTGTCTCCCCACCGCCACTCACCACTCGCCGCCGAGTTCTGCGAGCGACGCGGTGTGGTCCACGGCGACTGCTCCAGCGCGGCGTTCTTCACTGCGCCTAGCCACTTGCCTGTCGCCATCCTCCCTCTCCACTACATCCAAGCACCGCTTGCTGGCTACCGCAGTTCCCCATCGGGTAGGC